ATGTGCGTCTCCTCCTTCCTCTGATCGGCCTTTTAACCCCCTCCACCACCACCTCTCCTTCTTTCCGAGCCAATCGGCCACTCTGTAGGATTTCACTGCTTGCCACTTTGACGGAGCGGCTTGTAAACGCCACCAATTAGGACGGGCAATTGGCAGAGAAAAGGGCCGCTCCTGAACGGTGATGAGAGGCGGGAGGCTTTCGTCCACCTCTGTAGCTGTCAGAGGATCAGAGGGGGAGGTGGGGGAGGGGGTGAGGCCATGTTTTGACAGCATGAATAGATGGAGGAGTGGAAGTGGCTGGGAAAGGCTGCTGTTATGCTAACGGATGGACACTTTTCTCCAGGAGCCTGTTCATGTCTGGTGTGACTTCTGGAGCGTTGAGCGGCCTTAGGGCCGAGAGGTGGAGGGCGAGGGCCACAGGTTATTGATTAGGAAGAGAAAGCAGAAAACACCACCACAGCTGACCAAGAGTCCTTACATTGCATGGAACTGTCAAGTCCATGTATAGGATTAATGTAGCAGAACAAACTCTGAAGCCATCTATTTTTCTTTCTGGCTAAATCACGTGTGGCAGTTTAGGTGCTCACAGCGGAGCCGGGAACATGGCGCTGACAAACACGGACAGGAAGCAGCGACACAAGGATCAGATCTGACTGAAACATTAGAGTGTTAAGGCCTGGGATGAGGACATGGCATTAGTATTGTGGGTCTGAGGCCCGCACCATTAGACGCTCTCTCCATAATCCTCATCAGAGGCAAAGACATCATGAGACCTGGTTTTAGGTCCTGGTTTCCTGGGACGTCCGAACAGTGTGTCCACAACTGCACTTTTATTTTCTTCTGTTCACACAAGAGTAGGAGGGGGTTGCAAACGAACGAATCAGTGAGACACTGAGTGAAGAGGAAACATGAAAGGGATTTATTCATGTATCCGGTGGAGGAATGAGAGCGTGGAGCGCTGCTCATTACCACGTCGAGCGGAGACCTCTCCAATCTGCCACGCTGACAATAGGCGGGAAATAAAGATGTCAGGTTGAGAGATGAAAGCTGCTTCATCCTCTCCGAGGCCTCTGATGTGTGTTATAGGCAGCCTTTCAGTCTTTTTAGGGATTTAATAGATTCATTAGATCTTACCCCTTTACCAGTCCTTCAGGGAGGTTTACGTGCACTCTGCAGGAGGCTTATCTAATGACATGCACTGCAAACAGTGCCACAACAACAGGGAAGGTATCTCAAAGACACACTATCCCATAGATAATTGTTAATGCATACCCCGAGTCCGACGACTCAGTCTGCACAGGAGGGAAGATTTATTGCAGCTGATTTGGTGTTCATCAGCTCAATTCAGTCTAAATCCAGCAGCAGGTGATGAACTGTACATCAGCAGGTTATTGTGGCCACGGTGGGCGGAAAAACTCAAAGAATAACTTATAATATTACAATAAAAGTTGTAATATTTCAAG